CCCCAAAACCCCAAAACCCCAAAACCCCGCTTTGATATTTAAGGATTGAATTTGAACTATTTTTAAAATATACGAGGAAAATGGATCTTGGAGCGGCAAAAGAATACACGAATTTAAAGGGCACTGTGCCAACGAAGAAGTACAACTTAGCAGGAGTGGTGATTGATGCCACCCAACCTTATAAGACGTCAAAGAACCTGATTGTGACTATGAAGATTGTCGACCCCTCTATTTCTTGAATCCTGGACACTGACCCTGATGCTGATATGGATGCAGAGATTGATGAGGAGAAAGCTATTAAGGAGACCAATAAGATGTTCAGGTCTATTTCTATTTTCAACCAAAACCAGAAGGATGAGATGCCAATTGTCAAAAATGTGGGAGATATCATCCTGATAAAAGAATGTAAATGCGCGAAATTTAAGGGTCAAGAACAGTTCAATATTAACTTACATTGGCACTCAGAATTTATGCTCTTTAGTTCAAAGGAGTTGACTGATGATGAGATTCGGCTAAATCCTGAAGCCCAGTTCTTTCCATACCAAATGAAAATGCAATCAAACATCGAGTTTAGATTAACTAGTGAGGAGAAGAACTTAATAAGAGAGCTAAGGATTTGGAGTAACACTGTCTTCAACCCTATGTTTGTCTATCCAGATACAATGTTTGATGCCTGTGCTGAGGTTGCCACACAAAATAGGGAGTGTGATCTCCACTGTAAGATATTGGAAATCACTTCTAACAACGACTTGTTCGCAGAGGTTTGTGTCAACGACACTTCTGGATGAAAGCTGTTCTTCAAAATCACTAAGAAACAACTTCACCAGTGGGATATCCAAGAAGGAAATTTTGTGAGGATTAGATCTATAGTGATTGTTAAAGGAACTTCTAATTATATTGAACTTACCAAAAACTCACATTTCCTAAAATTCAGGAAAGACTCAATTGTTGCAAAGTCTTTGGAGTCTAAGATGAAAGATGATGAAATGATCCGTGATTTGATTTCAAGCCCATTTGAAGAAGTTATCTTAGAGCATCCAATTACTGTATCTCGTACAAGTGATAAATACAGTACCTTACACTTGGTCAGTCTTCATGACTTATTTCATAACCCCGAGAGTAAGTTTTATGCATATGAATATTCAAATTATTATGATGAATATGATTTGCATAATCAGTCGAAGTTTCTCCGCTTGAGATTCAATGTGTTAAGAACTTTGCCAGGAGAGGTGGAGGAAATTGTGCAAATGTATTGTGAAAAATGCCACCACTGTGCCTCACTCAAAACCAAAAATGACCCATCCACTTTTTATTCATGCTCTAACTGCTTAGACAGTACATCAACAAGATTGATTTACCAGATGCAGTTCTTGATTCAGGATGACTCTACCAGTGAAAAGGCTCTGGGGGATCAGAGTCAGGTTTTAAGTCAAGAGAAGCAGTTCCATAGAGTTCTTTTCTACAGCCATAACATGAGCTCAGAGCAATCAGGAATTTTTGGAGGGATCCAACCAAGCAACCTGTATAATAACACTAAAGACCTGGAATCAATCAGGAAATATCTTATCCTTATCAGCAAGTATAATATCTACGTTGAAGGGATCGTTGAATTGGTCTACCAGAGAAGAACAAACCCTATTCTGATGCTTATCGACTGCCGCCTCCAGTCCGGCTATATGAATTCATAAGGAATATTTCCTAAATTTCAAGATTTTTAGCTTAGAAATTGAGGTTCCAAAGGGTTAGTGTATAGTACTAAGACTTTTACAAACTTGTAAGATGTATACCCAGGTGGCCTCACACGCATAAAATTATGCAATTTCTGGCCGACTAGAGTAGCATCAATTATTATTTCATACCCAGGGGTTTTGGGGTTTTGGGGTTTTGGGGTTTTGGGG